GGGGGTCCAAGTGAGTTATTGTCTGGTTGTACTGTCACCTCTCTTCTTCCTGAGGTTGTGACCTATCGAGGTCAACCTCCACTTCCTTGTGGGCTCTCATGCCCTTTTGTGGGGTAATATTGCAGGGAAGCTCGGGACAGCAAAAAAAATGGGGGAAAACAGAGCATCGGGCAGCCAACGGGAAATGTGCAGTTCTGCCAATGGATCTTTCCACGACTCTTGCTGAGGGTAATGAAATGTAAGCCTGAATCAAGAGTCGCCATGGCTATGTAGAGCGTAGAATTAAAAGGGGAATCTTTCGAACCTAGTTGAAGAGAACTGAATGCAGCAGTAGTAATAAATTGTACAAATTTTGGAATGCCCTTTTGCCCTTGCCGCCCCTAATTTACAGACATGGAGTCAGAAGGCATGAGTCCCCAGAAACAGTTCCAGGAGCACTTCTTCACCTGTGCTGCCCGGGGAGATGTGAAGACCCTGGAGGAGGTGCTACAACAAGGGACGGTCAACATAAACAGGACCAATGACCACGGCTGGACTGCACTCATGTTCGCGGCCAGGACTGGACAGGACAAGGCGGTCAGACTACTCCTGGACCATGGGTAAATGAATGCTACCTTTTGATAGAACAATACTATCATCAAAGTTCTTTGATCACAACCATTTATTTTTCACGAGCCTAATTTTGATGACCGTCTGTCATCTTCATCAGGGCAATTCCCTGATGAAGATGACAGACGGTCATCAAAAATCGGCTCGTGAAAAATAAATGGTTGTGATCAAAGAACTTTGCTATTCATTCGTTTACCAACCTGATGAAATTATTTACGGAAGGAATACTATCATTATCGGTAAAACTAGATAAGGCTTAGTAAAATTATGTTGCGTTTCCGGTTTCCTGATCATGACCGACCCTACAAAAAGTGATCCCAGCCTTTTTGTAGCCTCCTTCGCAGTCTTTTTGGGCGTCTGCTTTATTTTTTTCTGTGAGCGACGCGAGAAATATGCGGCCGCGAGGGACGATTTGCTGCCGACGCCCAGCAAGACTGGGAAGGAGGCTAGCCTTTTTGGGGGTCTGACGAGCTGGTCACGTTGGCATACCCATTAACTTTTCAATCTGATATCTGGATTTCAATTCCTAGATATCTTTTATTTGATGCATTTTCATAATTTTAGGTAAATCAGGAGAAATATTTGTCCCTTCCCCACAAGCAAATGGATGAGGGATGGACCCTGGTCTTCATGCATTTCAGTTTTACTTTGTCAAACTGGATCACATAAGCTGAAATCTGATAAAAAAATCCCTACCTACCGACCCTAATATTTTTCAGAACTGAAATTAGAAACAAAACAAAAAAATAATTAATTTTCCTAGGCCTAACAGGGATGTGGGCTAAATGGATTTTCATAACTTCTATCTTACCTTGAGACTTATAATCAGAGCACCATGTTTATAATATGAAGTGTAGAATAAACCATTTTCAAGACAAAATTAAAGTAACTGCTAGTATAGGACTGTCACAGACTGTGCTTTCTAAATCAATAGCTAAATCCATAAAAGTAGAATACAACTTTGAATAGAAGTCTATGGGGTGCCTGTTTTTGTATCCTTCGTGTATATATTTATGTATGTTTGTTCTGTTGTAAGATGTGACACAACAGTGATGAACAAGTCATGCCAGACAGCAGCAGACATCGCTGGATTTTGGAACCACACAGCCGTCCTGAGTGAGCTGGAGAAGAGAGGACCAACATCGGACAGTCAGGCACAAAACGTCTGTAACTACTTTGGCTACAACCCCCTGGACCGCTGTGCACACATGAGAAAGGATGCACAGTGGTTGGAGGAAAAACTCAGGGACCAATCAACTGTCATCCTGCTGTTCCACGATCTTGGACTTGTGGTTGAGAAGCTCAATGCACAACCAAGGTTCACTCAGCCATGCCACTTCACTTTCAAAGACATCTCTGCAACGCTTGAGGAACTGGGGACAGAGAAAGTTCTCGTGTTCCTTGGACTGGGGAGGCTGCAGTCTGACAACACAGATGGACCAAGTCCTCACACAAGTGCCAAGGAGGAGCATCTCACTGCATGGTTTGCTCTGGATGTCACGTCCATTTCACAAGAGAAAATCCTAAGCATCAAAGAAGGATTGGAGATCGCCTCATCTCCCTTCCCCGGCCTTTTCCAACTGCCAGAGAAAGAAGCGGGTATCGTAGCCCAGGCCAGGTCCCTTCTGGCCTGGCACCAGCGATACAAGTTCTGCCCAACCTGTGGCAGCGTGGCCGCCATGGAAGAAGCTGGCTACAAGCGTATGTGCCAGAAGGAGGGGTGCCCGAGCTTGAAGGGCGTACACAACACTGCCTACCCCAGGACTGACCCAGTGGTCATCATGCTCATTATCTCACCAGATGGGAAGAGGTGCTTGCTGGGAAGGGGCAAAAGGTTCCCTGGTAGGATGTACTCCTGTCTGGCTGGCTTCATGGAACCTGGTAAATAAGATTCTTGTTATCTGATCTGATCTGATCTAAAAGTTTGTTTTTAGTGGACCAGTGTTCTAGCTATCTCAATTTTGTTTGAGATAAAATTGTAATAACATGTTGATCACTAAATGTGACAATTGCAGGGGGAGGGGTATGGTTTTGAAGCCTTGACCCTCTGAAAAGCTATTTCCTACATTTTGAGAGACAAGTTTTGCTGGTAGACTAAGCTTAGTTGAATGACATTTCTTTCCATCTTTTTACACAACAATTTTTGTCCATCAAAGATAATAGGATTGGGCAAAATTTTTCTCAGTATATATGAGCAGCAAAATTTCGCCAAATGACAGAAATATGTTGGCCCGCATGCCCTTTTCTGCAGAGCGTAATGGGCCGTTTCAATTCTACGTAGAGCGTAGACGGACTGCTTTAAAACGTAGACCATAATTGGCACATTTTGCATACAGAGCGTATTCGCGTTTTAATTCTACGTAAAGTGTTGTTGCCAGTTGCAATTTATTGTAAAGCGTAATCGAGAGGCTTCCAAATTCAGCGTAGAGCATTGTCGGGACCCCCCCATGCAGGCCCCCAAAGATGGATGCTGGGCCCTTGACACTGACTTCTAATTGTCTAATCTAATTTACTTCTTTTGGGTGCAGGAACTTTTACTACTAACTTTGTTTTATAGTTAGTAGTATCATAGTGTAATGATACTAAGGCCACGCCAATTTAATTTGTTGTTTCTCGGATCGCCCTGTCCATTTTTTTCTGATTTGCAAAAAAACAATTTTTTTTTGTTCTAAAATTTATTAATCAACTGCAGAATTCTCAATGAAAGACATATTTTGGCCTCAATGGTTGAAAAAAGTCCTTTTCTTCCTAGTTCTTAAGCTTTTCAATGTAGCAATGTTTCATTAAAAGTTCAAAATCTATTGTTACAATTATAAACCAGCCTGGTATGTTCACGTAATGACTCATATTGTAACATTTCCGGCTATCATGGGGTTCCTTGGCCATTTTTTTATTTTATTTCGCCCTGTCGCTCCTTATTTTTTCTGAAAAAATCCGAGAAACAACAAATTAAATTGGTGTGGCTTAACCCACATGTACACATCCCCCCCCCTCCCTCCAGGTGAGACCATCGAGGATGCCGTGCGTAGAGAGGTTTACGAGGAGTCCGGAGTGAGAGTCGGGCGTGTGCAGTACCACTCCAGCCAACCCTTCCCACTCCCGGCATCACTCATGATTGGTTGCCTGGGTTACGCCACCTCAGAAAACATCTCCGTGGACAAGGAGGAGTTGGAAGATGCACAGTGGTTCACCAGGCAACAGGTAAACACTTAATCATTTCAGTGTCCATTATTAATGATGAATGAAGACCTTTATTGTACACACATACCCACTGGGTTAAGTACAGGTCACAAAAAAGGATGGAATATAGATAACGTTACATATATACATCGTCAAGTAGTTGCAATCAAGTAAATTCGGTTTCTTCTCATTTCTTAGTAATGACAAAAAGGTAAGAACAGATATACGCAGCTATACGCAGATATACTGAACCTGGATGTCTAACATTCATCGACGTAAGAACATATATGTTTATATTAATGCCCTGCTGGCTCTTATATGAGAAATGAATAAGATTAGGATAGATATATATATATATATAAGATTTTAGCTCTGTAAGAGCACAAAGTGTCTTAGTACCATGCTGAACTTTATTCCAGCACAACTTACACAAGAATCAAACTTTCAATGACCACTGTCACCTTCATCAGGATAAGAAATGACCAATCACTTCCAAACGTTAACACACAAGAGTTATGGCCACGTGACCTTGTTTAATTTGTCAAACATACCAGGCAGTTTATATCGTCCACAGTCTCTCTTGTGATTGGTCATTTCTTATCCTGATGAAGGCGACAGTCATCGACAGTGGTTGTTCCAAATTTGATCCTGGCATATCCTTGTGTTAGAATAAAGTTCAGCATTGTACTATGATAACTACCCACACAGATAAACTTCCATAATAACACATGAATGAAAGTGTCTTGTTTATTTCTTGACCGTCAGTGTACATGTGCTTGAAAGGAAAGAAAATGCTGTAAAGGAAACAAACTGGATGAATACAGGCCTAGCCTGGAATCCTGCCTTGTTAGCTTTAAAATTGGTCCATGGGGTACCATATTATTGGGGTAGCAACTTCAGGAGCAGACCAAAGCTCACAAGATGGGATTCCAGGCTTCCATAGGCCATTACCAACTGTGGTTACTAACTGACATAATTTTACTTCAAGTTGATATGATGTGGCGTCAGCTGGCGTAGTGGTAGAGCGTTCGACTATGAAACAGAGAGACCCGGGTTTGATCCCGAGTTGTACCCGGGACATGTCTGGACATGCTCCCCGACGTTGTGCTCTTGGGAAAGGCGCTTTACACGACTTTCCTCACTCCACCCAGGTGTGAATGGGCACCTAACTTTGGTTGGGGAAAGTAATATTGAGGTCACCTGGTAGCGCCGAATGGCAGCTGCACAGTCCCTTGTGACAGTTCCACAAAAGTATGTGTGGAGCCAATATGTTATATGTATCGTGTATTATGTAAACCCTGCATCAATTAAGCACTATAAATATGATTGCATTGGGTAATGTTTGACCAATAAAACATTTATTACTACTATTATTATTTAATATGTGAATGTCTCAACAGGTAGCAGAAGTGCAGACAGGTGCCCCCCTCCCCACCGATGCCCTGACTAACCCACGTGCTGAAGGCCCCAGTTTCTTCCTGCCTCCAGCCCAGGCCATCGCACATCAGCTGGTCAAGGCATGGCTCAGAATGTCTCCTAACCTTTAACCCTCAAACAACCAAACGGGGTCCATTTAGACCCCAGGCGTATATTTTTATGTGCTATTTGAAATTTTTTCATTCGAAAAAAAATTCCTCCCGTGACTTTGTCGATAAACATCTTCTACAAGTTCTCTAAATTTTTTGGAGATCAGCACAAATTTGTAAAAATAACAACGGAAGTCTTAATGTAAGACCATCTGGGGTCCAAACTTTCCTACACACAAAATTGTTCGGATGTTATTGCTTTAACATTATGCAGTTTGCCAAGTAACCTCAACCTCAGGAATTAGGTCATCAGGATTTCAGAGGTTTGACAATTTGACAATCATATGAGGTCAAAGGTCAACCCCATGTTCATGCCTGCATGCCTCATCCTATTTTTGCATAAATTATGATAATGAGCTGGAAGTTTTTTAACACTTAATCATGCCAAAATATACCTCTTACTATGTTTAACCAATATGTGTGCAAAGGTCACTGAAAGAATGCAAAGAGGAATATAAATTTGAAAGAAACCAAATGGGGTCCATTTGGACCCCGTTCGGGCATTAACGTCACAAAAAAAGTTCAGGTGTTTGAGGGTTAAACACGTACGACATCATCATCATCATCTGTTGTCCAAGTTAGACGGGGTAGGACTTTCTCCTCCACACCGCTGGATGATTTGAGGTCTTCTTTATTAAAACCCAGTGTCCTTTGAGAGGATTCTTGGGTAAGTGCGTTTTTTTAGAGTACATGTAGGTTTTTCCACAAGGTTTCAAATCAAATCTTTATTCAGTAAGGATCTTGCGGGCAATGCATCCGAGTTTTGTCCTTATTACTGAGAATGTCCACTATTCATGTAGATCACATTAAAACAATGACTAAGTCTAATGTTACACTCCACGTAACATAGTTTACGTAGCTCACTACAAAACCATTACACAGTTATAATTTATAAACAGTATGCCATTACCAAGTGTCTTTGGCTACATTGTAAGTGCTATTGGTACTAACTGATTAATTGTCATGTTGTAGAGACAAACTGCACAATGAAGGAAAGTATTGTTAAATCTCTTAGTCCAGGCTTTAGGTACACTGATTGTGCCAGAGTCCCGTGGCACTTGACATGCAGAATGAGTGAAAAAATAATCAGTTTTCTCTTCATGACTCTCCCAGAATTAGTGACCGGGAAGTTAGATGCATCTCTGCTTGACACTTGAGAGAGACTTCGGAATCCATAGATGGATGATGTAATTTAAAAATGTCACATAGGGAGGCGTTTCCATTGTATTCCTTATTATGTTAATCAAAGGAAAACATAATGTTTTTGCTCAGTTTCTTCTTCCGTTCCTAACACTGACCTCTGACCTGGTCAATGACCTGAACTAGACCGTCTCTCACCATGGTAACTGGTGTTGGGTTACATAAAGTTGCAATTTTATAGTAGGAGGGATTTAGACTCCTGTTACCATATAATTATTATGTGAATGTGTTTTAGTAATAATTAACAGAGCTGCCAGTTTGAAGGCAAACTTAAAGGTAAACATTATATATCTTACATTAAGATGAAAGGTGTAGATATTTAAAAAAAGAAAGAAACATTGGTAAGTGATAGAGAAAGGATGCCAAACTTCAGCCAGGTGAATGAAAAAAAAAATTGTGGAATGATGATAATGTTGACAAAAATTTTATAGTCAAGTTTTCATTGATATTAAGTATGCGTAAGTCCACAGAGATAATTTTTATGCTAACTGACATGGAAGAAGAGTCCAAAAATCATTGCCAAAATATTAATCTTATTTTACAAATGTACTGTAGTTGTGGATTTACTAACACTTCCATCAGTCTAATACTTCAAGTGCCTTTTGCAGACTGCCTCCAACTCAGGAGAATATTGTGCCTTTCATGCAAAATGAGTAACAATGTTTGAAAAATGTGACACTTAGCAAAGTCAGTTTACTCCAAACCACTCAAGCTGTGAATATTACCCCATTAAACATAGCAGTGTTTCTGCTTTGCATTTGTGATACAAAATATAACTAAAATTTTTAATGCCAGTATGATAGATTTTTTTAAATAGCATGAAGTTTGTGATATTTAATGTCTTGTATCCTTCCTAAGACTTTTAATTGTGGTATCCTAGAAAAATAACTAGGAATAGATGTATTTCAATTCAAGTCGAAATTGATGTATAAAAAGTTATAATTTAAGTTGAAGGACACGTACCGGTGGATTCACCCTTAATTGCCTGGTATTCAATTATTAGAGATTTATATGAGGAAAACAAGACATTATCTTAAGATACATGTACACATGTATATTGCTTGTTCATCTTAAAAGCATGTTGCTAATTTACCAGTTCAGAATCATGTTAATTTGACCATATTTTTTGTGTCTGGGCTGTAAGTTGTGCAGGTAGTAATGTCTAAAAGTTCTTGCTGGCATTGAGGATGATTTCAACATTTGCCTTACAAAGCTCACCCACATATTAACTTGTTTTGAACTAAAGCAAATACATTATATTAATCAATTAGGGAAACTGGAAATGAGTTGAACTATTGTATTAAATCATACTGGGACCAAATGAAAGGCATTTGTAAGAGAAGCAAAGATGCACTAATGTCTTGTTTTATGAAATTATTTCATAAA